GAATTTAATACACCTTCCTGTTTAATATTAGCCTTTCGTGGGGTAAGCTGTTGCAAACCTTGTCTGAGAAATCAAGAACAGAACTGGACTTCAAAATACAGCATTCCTAGACAAGACTATCAAGAACAATTGAGGGGTCTCACACAGGCTACTCACCTCCCTTGGCATGACCACATTTAGTTTGCCATTAAATAAAAAAATAAAAAATATCTATATTGCCACCCCGCACCAGGATCTGAGTCCACACATCCAGCACCTTAAGTAAAGTAATTGCATCAAAGAGGAGCATCCAGGCGTAAAATCATGTTAGCATTCCTTTATAAGTTTGCTTCGTAGTAGTAGATGTTCCATCATGGCATCTCTTATAATGCTCACTAGTACTTTACGCTGGCCAAACTCAATGGCCTGTAGTTGTTCGTGCACTGTTGATCTCCATGTTTGAATATAAACACTCACATATGCCATTTTCCAGTCACTTGGGACATTTTTGCTCATCCAAGCATCTGTAGAACAGGATTTCTCTTAAGTACATAAAAGTTTTATTGTACAGTACAGTACTTTACTGTACTGCATGTATTTTACTTACTATGCTTATTATTGACTTATATCATTGTGTACACAAAATATTTTCATTAAAAACTTATTTTGTGGCATTTTGAGACATTTTGGGCAGTTTTTTCATAGGAACGTATTTCAGCATTGATTTATGAAAAGTCAATTTATGAAAGTTTTTAGACAAAGGAACCCTTTAATTAAAATAGGACATCAAATGCTGAGTCCACACTTCCTTTACATGTAACAGTTCTTATCAGAGGAAAATTACAGACACAACATTGTAATTTATATATATATATATTTATACCCACTTCCTGTCTACAAAAAAATAACTCAAGTTATCTCTCATAAAATTATATTAGTTACTTTTTATGCTTCTTTCTTTTTATTACACTGTATTTACACACATTACATGGATCCTAGCATTGTGCTATTATAAATAATCATGAATTAATAATACATATAACAGTAATAAAAAATCATTACGTACTTTAGAACTGTTTAGCATTTCTGAATTGCTCAATCATATGCCTGGAGGAACACTAGTAAGAATGTACATAACTAGTATTTTCCAGTAGTAATGTAAAGAGCCTTAAAAAATATACAGGATATATCCCTCATATCATAAAAGTTAAGAATATGGTAGAATTTAGGATATGGAAACCCAATTACCCATAACTCCATGATAAGTCTCAGTGCTCTTGATCCCTCCAAAGGTAAGTAAGAAAAGAATGTGTGAAAAAAATAATACTGTAATAATAATAATATACTGTAATGAAATAAATCAAGAAGAAAAACATTAGTAGGTATATCAATTTGATCTCAATTTGGATTAGTATTTACAGTATGTGTACTTGGTTTCTTACTGTATTTGCATATACAGTACATGTTACCAAATAACTAATTAAACATATGGTTCCAAGTCCAAATTTAGAAAAAGAAACAAAAGAAACTGAGGATTGTCAAACAAACGTGTGAATGGCCATCCCTATCACGTAATCATATACTGTTTATGAACACTGCAATAAAATGAGTACTACAAAAATATTAATTGAATTACTCTGAGATTCAATTAGGTATAGAAAAGCAAGCGACTTCTAAAGCAGCATTACTTTTAGTCTGGCATATCCAAATACACGACAGTCTTGTACATACTTAGGTGTATAAACTACCGAGACTGGGAATATTGAGAACAGACTAATGCAGTAAGATTCACAAGCTTGATTTTGATGATGAAAACATAGACAATGAATCTCTTGTCAACTACGATTTGCATAAAATGGGACATCAAGTTTGTGCATTCTTAATGTCTACTTAATCTTGAGACAAACACAAGCTTCAAAACTAGGCAGGAAAATAACTTTGATGATCAAGATTTTAGCTAACCTGTTCAGGCAAACTACAGGCAATGGTGTAAGTCCAGGCTCTAAGTATTGTTGTAGCTTATCTTTTCTCTATACAGTACAGTACATGGTTGTCTTTATAATTACAAAAACTTTAATCCACATTTTCCAATACAGTTCACAGAATTCCACACAGCTTCAAGTTACTAGAAATATCATAACTTTCAATAGAGCACGGAGTTGTACAGTACAGTACAGTACAGTATCAACTTTGGAACGTACATAAATTATACAAAATATCATGAACAATGTTATGAGTTGTCCATGGTCAGATATTATTTGGAAAAGAAAAAAAATATGAAACCCCTTCACTTTATGGCTGAGGGAAAGGGACAAATGCCAGATTTTCACCCATAACACCCCTGACAGTACCTATCTTTTTCAGGGGAGGATATCTGCATTCTTGAAATTAAGCCACTGTTCATTTGGATTAGAGTAGAGTTCAGTGTGTGCTACATATACAACTACGTATAGTCATCCTCTACAAGTTGTTGATTCGATAGTAAATGATTGGTAGTGGTGGAAAAATAAAATAATTTGGGGTGGGAAATTTAGCTGTCTTGTGGTTCCATCACCAAATCTAGGCTGAGGAATGAACCCAAGTGTCTGTTCATGCTTGGCCTACATCTTGCGATTGTGTTGTGAATTTTTTCCTGGTTATCATTAAATTGAATACCTGCTCTAATTTTGATGATGTCACCTGCTGGTCAGAAAAAGGCATATCTTCTTTTGTGTTGGAGGGAAACAAAGTGGAAATGTTAATAATGTGCCCAACGTCTTCCTCCCTCATACCTTGATAAGTGGCAAGCAAGGAGACATCTGAGAGAGAATACATATACAGGATGTATTCATTTGTAGCTTCCATCAAATAATGTAGTGTAAATTATATAATTTTAAACTATCTGAATACTTTACTATCTTTAAAAGCAACTACCTCCTGTACCATAATTTTGCTTAAAAACTTGCATTGTGGGTGAGATTATGCATTTTAACCCAAGGTACTTAAACCTATGTACTTCCCTACTTACAGTAAGAAGGTAATGTTGCTAATGTATAAATTTTACTTCTGTAACCGTTTCAAACCAGATCTCAAGCATCTGTGGAGGAATCGGATGTTAATGAAGCAAACTTTAACTCCTACTTAAATATGCTTAAAAAAAACAAGCAAATTAAAAGGTTCTCTGGCACAAACCATGAATTAGTTTTGTTGACTTAAACCTCTACATTTGTTAATCTTCACATTTTCCCACAAGTGAGGGATTTCAAGTCTCTTCAATCCTTTGTTTTATGATCTATGAGTCATTTAATAAGTGACTTGTAAGATTCCACACGAATTACAAAAGAGAAGATGATCATGTGCCAGGAAAAAAGGTAGAGCACCTCAGCCAAGATATACTGTACAACTAAAAGGTACTTCTTAGTGCAACACTGTTGGATGCAATATCATCACTTGAGTCTCAAGCCCGTCATTCAATATAAACTGATAGTCAATGAACAATGCCAAGAAAGGCAGTTACAATTATGCCGAGTGATTCTGATCATAAACTGAAACAAAATGTCTTCATGAAAAGAATAATATTGTATTACTTCTCTTCAAGGCATTGAGAGTGGTAAGAAATGTTGAGATAGAAACATATCTAAAAGAGGGTAAGATACCCAGGAGTTTCATTAAGACATCATAAAACCATAAGAACAAATATCAAGGCCAAGGTATTGTGATAAAAGATACAGTAGTTCCCCTTTCCAATTTGGAAATGAACCCAGGAACAACCACTCGAGACTAATGCTTTACTGTTGAACTATGAAGAAAACACTGATTTACTGTACAGAATAAATGGACTGAGCAATATGTTTTATAATATAATCACTCAAGAAGGAATGTAAACAAATTCCAAGAAAAGCAGTCCAATAGAAGTCATGTTCCTCAATACTAAAAATAAGCTATTGCATATCACAGCAAATTATCCCCAGAGAGTAAATGTATAGAGGTAGTCATGTATGGAAAAGATTTACTCGGATGAAAATTACAAGCCTGAATAAGTGAAAGAGAATGCCTAGAGGCACCATTCAATTTTTGTCCAATGAAGAAAAAGCTCTATTGTGAAAGGTGAAAGATGATCAATTGTATCCTGTACCAGTAAATGTCAATCTCTGTTTTCTCAACCTTTACTGTACTTTATCCTCTTCATCACTGATCGGCCTTTTACATTTCTGGTCCCACTATGAAGTGAATACTGTACTGTACTCACAGGATATAAATACTGTTGTAAATAAGAGAAACATGTCATAAAAATATACCATCTCAAAAAGGATGCCAGCAACAAATTGATATCTTGAGTAACTTTGTGGTGTGTGCCGATGATTGTGTGGGTGGAGGTGGAGGTGGAGAGGTGTGTGTGTGTGTAACAGCTCAAATATGCATTAAAAAATACTCCTATTTGTATTGATGTTGCATAAAATGTTCGAGACAGTGGTAAAAAATTGTGCACAGCCAAAAACAGGAACCCCAAGCTTGTTATAGGAGTGAGTGTGTGTTATAATTGATGATCTAGTTGTTTTTTATTCCTATTCCAATGCTCGAGGAAATAAAAATTATTACCTCAGCATCTCCAACTGTCTTTGACTCCAGCTGCCTGAGACTAAATACCGTACACTATTGCTTACTGCTTCCACTTCTATAGCTCTAGATGTTACTCCTCATAACTCAATAGACATCTAGTGCTTCAGGCCTACTTAATAATTTTGTGCTTTGGAAGTGGAGACAAAGAGAATATTTGCCTCAGTAAATCGACTGTACAGTACTGTAGTATCATTTTCCATTCTACTGTATATTTTTTGTGTTGTACAGTATTCCCTCACCAATCACAGGGTTTCCTTCTAGAATTCTCTCACAGTTGGCAAAACCATGGTTTGGCCAGGGCTGTGTCTAACAAGAAACACAGCAAGGGAAAGTGACCCTTTAGAGTCATATCTAAAAGTCCTTTACTGTACATGTACAATACTGTATTGTACAACTCAAGGTTATAAATAAGTACAGGTATGTCTGCTGTACATTATTCTTTTTTATTTTACTGTACAAAAATACTGTGCAGGTTATAAAACAAACTTATAAAAAGGTATAGTAACTGGCCTCAACGTTTTCCCTAGCAACACTGCTCCCTTATGCATTTTGGTTACATTGTAATTAAAAAAACAAAAAATTGCAATAGAAAAGTGTAAAATCTAAAGAATTTTCCTTTCATCACAAAATTTCAAATAAATATTTATTCTACAACAAAAGTTTAACATGTTTTGGATGAATTAATTTCCCTTTAATCAGGTAAAATAAAAAATCTATTCTGGTATGTACAGTATTACTGTACAGTATGTATGACTCATTGAGCAGGGTGGGTACATCCAGACCACATGGGGTGTGGCTGCCTCCCTCCTGAGAGTGTTACTGTTAAGTCATGACTATTGCCAGGACATATAGCACACACACACACACACTGTAATACTGTACAAAGGATAAAAATAAACAATTAACATTAAGAGGTTAGAGAAAGATAAGAACCTAGGCGTGGTAGATGATAAAAAAAATAAGCTGTAGAAACGCCTGCATACTTATAACTGGACACTGTGGTTGGTAAAAGGTGTAACAAAAACTGTACACGTTTGGTAAACCCATGGTTGGTGAGGGATTTCTGTACATGAAGATATCTGGAACAATTGGAAATCTTATAGGGTCCTATTTTGAACATTTTGGATTCTCAAGGCTGTATTGTATAAATATCAATAAGAATGAGGAAAAATCTGGTTTCAATACTAAGATATAGCATAATGTATGGTTCTGTTATCTCAGGAAGGGGTTCAGGGTTTAGTTGTAGGTTTTAGTTCTGACTGCAGACAGTTCTGTGTGGCAGGTCTTGCCACTCTGTTGGTTGCACAATTCAAAACATGAGATTCACTTTTATTTTAGTACTGTACATGTATCTGAATTTTCCCTGACCATTCAGAAATATAACACTTCACTTTACTAATATATCACAGCCTTATTTATGATTTATTTGCTTACAGAGTTAAGTTTTAGTTATAATAATTAATATAGACCTATACTGCCGCCACCCTCCACATCATATGTTTCTTTCTTGTTGGATATCACAAACTGGAAATTAATTTAATGAGTTTATAGTTCTGCTATTAGTTGAATAAAATATTAAAGGGTTGAGTGAACTAAATAAAAGCTAACATTATAGGTACACTGAGAAGCTAATCCTATTCTCCATGCTTAGTTACTACAGGTATTTCTCCATGTTACAAGTTCTTATAACATATATTAAAGTCAAGGATGTTATCATGCTTCCTCATATACAGATACCATATTATTTGTATATCTATATAGTACTGTACTTCATTTATGAATTTTTTATAAGCTTATTTTATTTATCTTAATGAATTGGTTTATATACATAAGTTTACATTGATTTGGATAAATATAGTGTATTAAACCCGCCCCTCCTGATTTACTGTGTCCTTCATGCGAGTCCTCCCTCTGGTGCAGCACGACCTCACCTCTCACACTCAAGATCATTAAAACACTCGGACAAATGAACTGCGTCACTCACTGAGAGGGAGACACGGCCCACCATCTTCTACAGGTTTCCATAAAACTGAATAGTTGACTGGATGAACATGGCTTAAGCACATACACTTGGGAAACAACATCAGTCCCACTACTAAAATGTTAACAGTAACACAGTCAATTAACAATAAGGCACATCAGCCACAAAAAAACCCTAACTAGATAGAAGCAATGCAGCTGTGTAGAAAGAATTGTGGTTTAAAAAAAAAAAATGAAAAAATCCACTGCTTGTTGAACAGATAATAAGGGGTTGAAAAGCGTGTGGGGAGAGGTCACCAAATGCAACGTACATGTTAACTGACTGGCTTTTCAAAAACATCGAGAATGGGTTTAAAAATTGCTACATAATCCCTGGTTTAGTTATAGAAGTAGATGTTTATGCAATAGTTGTACAAATCCAAATGAATAGTACAGTTACTTGCCTCAAGAATGCATCAAGCTCTCCACAATAAGAGAGGCTTTATAAGGGTTGTCCTAGCAGGTGATATTGCAGGTCACTCATTGCCATAAAAAATGTGGCTACTCCAGTATCAAGAGAATAAAGATCGTAAATGGGAGACTGAAGTTCTCATTATAAATACAACTAAATTAAATTAATATTGTCGTCACCTATATAATATGCAATTAGAATCTTCACTAAGATTCTAATCACTTGGTCCTCTACCACTACAAAAAAAAAAAGGTTTAAATCACCACTACAGTACATAGGAAAAACAATTCACCAATATTAACATCCTTCTTGCAATTTTTCCATCAAGTTGTTTACATGATAATTTTTTCTCTCTTTAGAAAAGTTTCTTTTATTATCTGTCAATGACCCTTCGTTTTCAGAGGAAACTAAAAAAAACTGTAGCTGATGCAAAAACTTTTTCCAATAAAGCAAGACTTCCCTCTATTTGAAATACCTGTACAGTAAACCCTTTATTGGGATAGTTGGTGGAAGTGGGTTCCTATTAACTGGAAAATTAAGTTATCAATAGACTTTCCTTCGCCATTTAAAATATACAGTATTACCTCAGTTATGATAATTTTATGTTGTTCAATAATACAGTGTACTGTATAGTTAAACCTTGTCAAACATGGATTTGATTAACCTGGTATCCACTGTTAAAAAAAATGCTGTGCTTATTTACCAAATACAGATAAAAATTTATTATGATATCCACAAGTCTAAAATTGCAATTGGCATACAACTGGCCTTGTGTGAAGTTTGCCTTCACTAACTGGCATCCACACTATTGACCTCAATCTGCTATGCAGCTGCCCAATAAGTGTATTTTGCACCCTTGATTGTACCATGGAACAAAAACAAAAATGTCTCAGATGGTAATGACACGAGCTAAGAAGTTAGTGATTTTAGACAAGTTACGCGGCAATATGAACTTGGTAGTTGTTGGCCTAGAGTTCATAGTTAATGAGTCGGGTATACTGTACATAATATGAGTTCAAGTGAGGATAAGATCATGTTAGTGTCATCTGTAAGTGCTTAGGCTTTTAAAATAACCAGGAGAAATTCTAAAGTGGAAAAGTTTATAACTGGAGTTTGATGGTTTTGAGGCTGTTAGTCATAGCAGTTTGAATAGTTGCATCAGTTTAAAAAAAAAAAAAAAAAAAAATTCTTGATGGATTTTGAATAAATTTTCCCCTGTGTGAAGGGGACTCCTTATTTTCTGATGTTTCTTATACTTCTTAATGTTTGAGTATTGTGATGAACTAGTGTACTGTACTGTGTATGGTGTTGTGAATCAGGTCATCTAGACTAAAAATGGCTGTTAAAAATATCCACCCTTCCAGATTAAGATTCTGGAAAAATTATTAGTATTATTTTATATTATTTATTTATAGAAAACCAAAGAAGGTTTTCTGATTCACTTAAAAAAAAGTTAATCTAATAAAAATCACCAAAATTTGGTGCTTTAATAAAAAAATGTATTTATAAAAATTCAACCCTCTCTATAATTATTAACTAACATATGCATGGGACACATGGCGTCAACAGTCATTTTTTATAGTACATACAGGTATAAAGTTATCTTTTGTATCATTTACAATTCATCATTACCATTAAATATGATCATATACTATTTCAAGCATGTCACCAAATCCTAGACTCAACTGTGCATTATATAATTGTTGACATCAGGACATTTTTATTTTGTGAGAAAATTAAACTTGAAAGTTTTAGTACTTAGTATATACCATAATGACCAAATTGCATAATAATCTTTAAACCTGATATTATAAAATGGCACTTCAAGAGTATATCTAAAGTTTATTATCTATAAAGTTATATCATACAGCCTCTCCATATGTAATCCTTGGCCCATCACTAGCTCTCCTCCCCCCCATCTCTTGACCCAGTTGGTCTCCTCCAGTCTTTCCACATACCTAAACTATCTCAACCAACTTCTATGGAAAACCTCACTTATACTCTTAATACCCAGCTGCCTTTTCAGCTATGATCAGGGTTGCTTATTTTTGAATATCACATTACACATCCATGTCATCATTGTGATTTCAGCTTGCTGAACCCTACATACAGTACGTCTTTAACTGCCCATGTTTCACTACCAAACGTCACACTTCTCATACATGAACAGAAGGCCTTCTCACTGTCAATAAAGGTAACAGATCCCTACCTTCTTCCAGTCACCTCTGACTCTTGCAAATGAGCTAATTTCAGCACCACCTCCAGCACTCATCATCATGTCACCCAGGAAGCAGAACTCACTGACACAGTCCAAGGACATTATTCCCTATGCTGAAGCCACACAATTATCTGTGCATACAGTGCACTTAAAGTCAGCAAGATCCTGCAATCTACCATTTATACAATTGTACTTCTTGTGTATCCATCTACTACACTCACTGTACATTATTGAATTGCTACCAAAACCTTTCTTACAGATAGAACATGGCTATTTTCCACCATAGGTCCTTTGCCCACACTGCTTATCAGCACTTTTATTCTTTCCACATTAATTCTCATAACCATTGACTTCACTCCATCCTTGCACATCCCAGATTTCTCCACTACCTCTTTATTGGCATCTGCTCTCAACACTTAGTCATCAGTATACTGTACAACTCTCAGGGCAAACCAGTCCTAAAATCTCACACCATGGTACACAGAAGGGGCTCAAGACTACACACTGTATGAGAAATAAGGGGATATCAAACTTGATCCCACTACTTTATCAGGACATTGCTGTCTATTATATATAGAAATTCCATTAAAATGAACTCTGTTAATCAAAGGGTTTACTGTATTAGGAATACTACTTGTCAACATTGAAATAAAAAATATACCAAGCACTTCAACTAAAACTTGAGTCAATTGAACTAATAATTTACATTTTATAATGTATTGAGGCAAAATATTATCAATTATTATACTTGAGAAAATAATCTAAAAGTAAATGCTAATATACCGGGTACTTCACATATTTACACAATCAGATAAATTATAGAATAGATTTCTTACCATATAAAAAAGGCCATGATACAAGTGCTAAAGAAAACAGATAACAAATCTGGCATCATTTAAAGATTCTAAATGCAATAACCTATATCACAAACACACGGGATATATCTTAGCTTCATGCCAGTCTTGAGATATATGGCTGCAACAATACTTGGATCAACACTGTGATCAATACTAACACTGACAATGTACAGCTAGTGTTAAAAGCTGTTTGACATACACAGTTTTAGGTCTGCTCTGATTGTGATCGACCTATGCCAATAACACAATTGTCTATTAAACTTGTGGTACGGTACAGTATAACTCTCAACACGATTAAACAACAACATAATTAACAACCTCATTAATTAAACTAGACAGTGGAGCCCATTTTGCCATTTACAATATAATATACTCTTTGCACTGATGACGTGTGATCGTAGAAAAATTTATTTGGTATTGAAATTTCAGACTATTATTCTAAACCCACAAAAAATAGAAAATTTAAATTACATTACTAAACAAAAAACAATATTATAGACTGAAGTTTTTGTAATATAATATTTTCTTGGCAACTATTTAAATCATCATATTTCTCGTTTAGAAAATGTTTTGAGGTTTATGGCGACTGAATCATCACACCGATGTCGCGTTCAATGGTGATGATGCCTATACATTCATCAGTGAATCATAAAGACTCATCACTTGAGAACAGAATTATACACCTATCAGTCACTGTTTTCTCATTACTGTATTCTAAAGGCCCTTTTTATTTTTTCTGACTGACTTGTCATCTATCTCATTGAAGACCTGGATGCTACAGCTGCTACAAGTGCAGCACCTCGCCCACTGCCATCTTCAGAAAGCATAAGATCAAACTGAAATTTAGAAGAAAAAATGAATTAATCTTTACATATACAATCTAAAAAAAAAACATTAAATCACTATGAAATTGAAATGTTTCATGAATACAGGTTAACTCTTCAGATCTGGCACCCTTGGGACTTGATTGGTGCTGGACCACAGAAATTTCCAATCCACAGAAGATCTCCAGTCTGGTGAAAAAAATTCTCTACAATATTGTGCAATAAAATTTTTCTCAAATATGCACTTGGTCCTTACCTTGATTCCTGGCTTGATAAGCTGTGAGATTTGCTTCACCATTAGGTTATGGAAGTGTGGATGGAAGCGATAAACAGACCCATCAACGGCCACAGAGACGCTCTCCTCGTTGATTCGGTTGAGTAGAACAGAAACACCCGCAGCAGCTAAAAAAGCGGCTCGCCTTGAGGTACACTCGCACACGTGACGAACATTTGCACAGTCAGTGTCTGTAGCATCGTTAAATCCAAGCTCCTCAAGAATTGCCCGGCAATTGTTAAAATCACCGGCCTTGTCACTGAAAAATAGTAATAAATAATATCTCAACTATGACATTATTGTGACTACAGTACATAACGAGTGTAATAATGGGGTGGAAAGTGTGCAGTGAATTCAGCTTTTGTTGATACATCTATCAAACAGTAACTATAACAAGATTAATATTTCTTTCTACTGCAGTCTGTGTTAGATGTTCTTGTTGGTCAGTGCACAAACACACTAAAGTAACTCCTACAACTCTTTTTTGCATAGATTATTGAAACACAATAGTGTTTTTAAAATTGTGGACTGTAATTTGAACCATTCATTATTACAGAGGTTAGGTTCCTGGAAAACACTGTACTTGTAGTGTGAATCCATATAAAAGTTAGGTTCCTGGCTGTCATTAGTTCTCCTTGACTGGCTAAAAGACAGGTAGAGCTTATCATCACCTGGCCAGTACAGTATGGACAACTCACTTTGATCAAATGTTCTCATCACAATGCTGTACTGCAATTCTATTCAAAAATGGTTTCTTTGTGCCTTATGCTTTCATCAAGAAATAATCTTCCCATCAATAGTAACCTTGGTGGCAAAATTAAGAACAAAAAAGTCGTAATGTGTGCAAAGAGACAAAATGACCAGGTGTGGATGCTGCAAGGATTGCTAAATGTGGAAACATTCCTCTCCTTCCAAATTAAACTTTCTAACACAAAAACTGGAATACCTAAACTGTACTATAAAAATTATCTCACAATAAAATTATTTTCTATTCATTCAAAATGGAAATTTAAAATTAACTAGTTACTACCAACTCACCTTTCAATTTCAGAGATGTATTTGGTAAAGAAAGAGCCCTTTTCAAGAAGAAAATCTGAAGTGTAGCCACCAAACAGTAGGCCTTCAGAAACTAGTCGAACGAGAACTTGCCGTGCAATTTCGCCCATGTACATCCCACTGATCATCTTTTCAAATCTGTAAAAAAAATATATATATACTGTACAGAGTATACATATATCAGAGGTAAAAATTAATGAAATCTAACACGGATGCCTCCATGTCAGGAGGGGGTTTTCATTTATTTGAAGGCTTGAAACAGGGTCTATCTAGGTCTCTGTTTATGAAAGAAAGGACACACGCACGCACGCACGCACGCACGCACGCACGCACGCACGCACGCACGCACGCACACACACACACACACACACACACACACACACACACACACACACACACACTGTGCTTGGATTCTGAATGTCAAGGCTGATGTCCTGGAATCAAGCAATGGCCAACAGTGCAGCATGGTAAAGTGCTAACCACTACATTGCTATACCACATTATTTTACCGATTAATATTTGAACATACACCTGTATTCTTTATTTATCTTTAGTGAATGTCAATGACATAAGATTTTACATATGAAAAGAATTTTGAAACTTCATTAAGTTAACTTATACTTACAATTGCTTTCCTGGATTTATTGATTCCCTATCAATGTTATCGTCATATTCTGTCCGAACAAAGTCCAAACAACCATTGTCTCCAAATGCACCCCACTCTGTGTTGATCACTACCTGAAAATAATGATAGGATACTTAATAAAGATATCATATATTCATCTAATTACCCGATTAAATGACGTGTTTCAACTGTCAACCATATCTTAACTTGGTGCTGCTTTTTGATGCTGTGCAAGTGGGTCCCCTATACCTGACAGCCCATTAAGTGCAGTGAAGACACAGCACACTGAAGGCATATTAATTTTCCAATACACAAAGAGGCAGTGGCTAGCACTGCACTCAAATGCCTGCACTTCCCAGCTGTAAAGTTAGGTACCTGTTAACAGATAGTGAACTAGGGGTGCACCACCCACAAACCAGTGACCCCTGGGGACAGGAAGCAAGTTCTGTGTACACTTGGCTCCATACTCAACTCTTTGACATTAATGGGTAGCATAAGTACAAGTTTCATATTTCAAACATATAAATACTGTATGACAGTGTGATGGAAAGTAATGCTTTCTAGTCTATAATTGTAAAACAGGATGAGATATTATGATGAAACAAAAACAGATACAGTACCTGCACTTAACTATATTCTTATTTCTAAACTTAAGACATCTGATACATACCCCCGTAACATTACGATGTGGCTCATCATCCTTTGGTTTGCATGAATAAAGAGTGACAATATAATATTCACAATTATATGTACCGTATTATACAGAGAAAAATACTGTACTCCCTTCAAGATATGTTTCACTCTTGTGGTCAAAATGATGATAGTAATGATTACATCATCATACTGCTAATGACATTAACACATAATTTCAGGAACAAATTAGTGAAGAAAATGCTAGTTTTTCTTCTAACAAGAGTATCATGTTATCTCCAGGTGTGGACCATTTATACACCTGGAGATAAGTAAATACAGTACTTTATAATTGGAAAAATTCCTGGTTGTTGTGTGTGTAAAATACTGTATGAGGAAACAATAGGTTTTCATTACATCTAAGGTTGGTGTTCCAACTGCACTACACTTCTTACCAATCTGTAGGTCTTGTCCAGTACATTTCATAACATAGATATTTTGAAGTAGAATCACAATTTAATTTACTTTTGTCCCAGTCATTATTCTCACTTTACAAAAGAACCCTTTAAAACTTTGTGTATCCTTGGGACCAACAATGTATAGCATACTTGATAATCTGCTCAGCCTGTAAATTAGGCAAATCTCTTAAGTATATGACAACACTGTTATATACTTGTGTATACTGTTAATTTTCTGTGCTCATATTTCACCATTCTGTTATTTTGGGGGGAATATCCTGAGGTGTGTTTTCACAGTCATTCTTGGTCCCACTCTTGTGATATACAAAGGGCGTATTGTACAAGGCTAAGAAGTGTGAACAGGATGCATTCATGGATATACTGAAAGTGTGAATGCAAGAGGGGAGATATTTAGAATAACAAGGCAAATAATGGTAAAAACAGGTATGTTCTTGGTGAGCAGTGTGCGGGAAATGACTCTGGTAATATGGTTGGTGATAATGAGGAAATCAAAGGTGCTTGAAAAAAATATGAAGAATGATTGCTGATTGAAGTGTATGGGGGACAGAGAATGGGTAAAGGAAGCAAATGAAAAAAAAAAAATGGAAAAATCTCTGGATGCTTTGGAATAATTACAGAAATACTAGAACTACAGTATTTGATAATGTTGATGATGACCAAACTGATTAATGTAATCACGATTGAATGTACTGTGCATACCGTACTTTACCGGCTGACTAGCAAAGAGCGTGATCATGAATACTTTCAAGGGTAACGGTGATCCACCTGAACACAGGAACTACAGGAGCGTAAAGCTGTTAGATCAGGTTATGAATGTTGTGGAAAGAGTGACATGTATTTATGGTCAAGCAACTAGAAGAGAAATTCTGTATCTAGGAAAGGAAAGGTGTATACCGGGGGTCCATGGGTTCCGTTCCTGAGGACGTTCTTAAGTAGTTTTTGTATGTAAGTCAGAACACAACACATGCTATGTGCAAACCGTAACTACAGAACAATGTTTAAAATCCCACTATGTCATAGCCTAAGTCTTTAAATATGTACATCTAAAATCACTATGTTTAAGAAAAAAGAAGAAATAAAATGACAAAATACATTAAATGAAAGTAAAAAATAAGTCATCAGGTAAATAAAATATACTGTAAATTTCAAGTTTAACCCAATTCATATCAGCGGGCGTTCGTAAGTCGTGGACCCCCTGTACTTTATATTTGTAAACTTAAAGAAGGCATCTCACAGGGTACCACATAAAGTGTGAAGTTGTCTGGCAGTGAAACATGAGCTTAAAAAGCTGAAATGAGAATGGTGAGGTGTACTATGTAATGGAGACAGAGCTAAGAGGACAGCTGAGTATTGAGAGTATTAGTGATGGTTTGAGTAAAGGTAGGGTGATATGGTTTGGCGAGGAGACCATTTGGGTCAAGAGGTACACGAGTGAGTCTAAATGTGGATGGGAGGAGAACTAGGAGTAGGCCAAGAATGACATGAGGAGAGATTGTAAGAAATGACATCACAGTTAAGAACATGATAAAAGAGGCTGCAAGAGACTGTGCAGCATGGAGAGCTGCCTTACGGTAATCACAGCTAACCCACACATGTGGAAAATGGCCGTAGAATGTTGAGAATGAGGATGAGATTTAGACAAGTTTATTAAAGTTGGCCAACCCAAATTCATGCAAGGTTCTATACATTGCATGGCCTTATTTGAATAACTTTCAGCATAAAGCATTAACTTTATTTTTGTTTCTTGATGTCACATCTGGTAATGTTACCAACACTATTAGGCTCCCTCAGGCTGACTCACCATAATGGTAAGTATTACATGATTCTTCTTTACACCACTAACCTTGGATGCTTGTTGGATTCCATTATGAGCACAGAAATAGACCAAAAACCAAAATAATAAGTCAAAACGATGTAGTCAATGTACTGTATATGAATTCAAATGGTAAACACCGATGAAAGGGCAACGACAACACATGGAAAACAGAACAGAAACTGTGTCACTGGAGACTCATGTGTCATTGTGGCAGGAACTTTTTATGTGCATGTACTGTATGCACATTTTGGATATAGTACTACAGTATATGTATATAAGAAAGGAAGCAAGTACCTGATTTGGTTCATCAGTTGCACCGTCCCATAGTTCCACCTTTTCTAACTTTTCCATGTAGCAAGCATTTGTTCCAGTACCTGGAATTACAAAATTAAATAACTTATTAAGTTTGTCACAACAGAAATTTGCTGCTAAAAAACAACAAATGTTGAATAAATTGAATTTATGCATAATATTTGTACCCTGTACAACATAAAGGCAGATTTTCCTCCAAATGTAAACAGTTGACATATTACTGTACAATAAATATACTGTAGTAATAAAGTAAGATCCACCTGCAGTGTTCTTTATCCACTACAGCAGATGGTCACTTAACCAGCACCACTGGGACTTTGATATCAGATAATTAAATTATTGAACAACGTAAAAAGACTAGGTACCGTACAGCATTAAACTCAACTATTTTTTGTGAACAGAGTAAACTGTAACAATAACTACTATACTGTACTGTACTGTATTTGAGAATATCTATTATTGTGGCACAAGAAAAGCCATTTATCATGTTGTAATTAGTATTAATTAGGAGGTACCATTTCCCCATCCCTCTGCTTAACATAGATGGCAGCAATATGGCAAAATTTTGTTGATTTTGATGCAGTCGAGTTACCTAAATTTTGGTGAGCGTTGGTCACCTAGTTCAGACAAAGAGAGCTTTTCATGTTTTAGTCTCATTAGTGACAACCTATCTGTTTGAATCTGGATTCTCAACCAAGTCAAGGAATCACCTGGATGACAAACGATGACATTCGAAGGCTGTTCCACAAATTCCTAAACTCTCAGACAAAATACGAGACAATGTGCTGTACTCCCACTGAAGTGGCAAGTTTGATTTGTGATTTCATCTTGTTGTTTGTTTGTTCATAATTACAATAAGGAAATAATTAAGAATTTTAAGGGAGAAATCTTGATAAACCTGTGCAATCGCATCCAATAACCCGTCTCCTGTTTGGTAAAAGAAGCAGCATTAGCACCTTCTCCTCCTGTTAGGTAAAAGGAGCAGCATTAGCACCTTCTCCTGTTAGGTAAAAGGAACAGCATTAACACCTTCTCCTCCTGTTAGTTAAAAGGAACAGCATGAGCACCTTCTCCTGTTAGGTAAAAGGAACAGCATTAACACCTTCTCCTATTAGGTAAAAGGAACAGCATTAACACCTTCTCCTGTTAGGTAAAAGGAACAGCATTAACACCTTCTCCTGTTAGGTAAAAGGAACAGCATTAACACCTTCTCCTCCTGTTAGGTAAAAGGAACAGCATGAGCACCTTCTCCTACTCCTCAAAATGGGGGATACAGTACAGTATACTAACATTTACCTACCTATTCAAAACTTTCCATCATTGTGGAAAAATAATTTCTGGGGTGGCAGTTCAAATATTACTGTACTGCCATTATGTGTTTATACAGTATCTAATTCTGCTCCTACACCCCAAATTAAAAATTACAATTATTTCATACACTCGCTCCAAAAAGTACATCTTTACGATTTTGTGTGAGGCAATATAACACTACAGACGAAGGGTTTTGACAACCCTACCGAGACAACAGGAGTCGCAGTGTTCATTTTCAAATTCATCAGATCTCTGTAAAGATACATTTTGGAGCAAGTGTACTGTACTGTACTTCCAATATGAATGAAGTCAGAGAATGTATTTAAATAATGCACATTCAAAATTGAGTTAGTACTGTACTTTTATTCCCTTTAATTACCGATATGAAAATATATGACGAGACTTACCAACAATGAGACCAATTCTACAGTTGCTGTTCTTCCATGCACAAGACATAAGTGTGCCTGTTGTATCATTTAGAACTGCACAAATCTTGATTTTCACATCCTGAAGTGCAGAAAATGAATAGTACAGTACAGTGTAAGAATTCAACATAAAATTTATTTTGTTCACTACTTTCCCCAAAAAATATACCGTATATATATGCAAGAAATATTGTAATAATAGTTCCTGATTAGAAAACTTTTAATCTCTAGAATTATTTTTATGTACAAAATTTATTTATTCAAATTTTTATTTCACCACTTATCAGCTTACTAGCTGTGAGGCAGATGGTCTGTTGTTTGTTACTTTGTTATGACCCAGAGAAAACTTGTGAGGTCTGGTAAGGTCATGCGAGATAACACCCTTCTTAAATCTGACCTGGTGATGCCTTATTCATACTGGATATTTCTATATCACACTAACACAATATTTGACAATTTTAAACAAACCTGAGAGATTATGATCCTATGTAGAAGTGGTTTATGGTGCTGGAAAAACACAGGCTGGAGCTGTATATTTCCACCACCATAAGCCAATCATTTATCGATAACTCATTATGTACTGTACACAGTGCCGGATTTAGACCTGTGGAGGACCCCCCCCCCTCATTATAACTACCCGAGAGGGTGGGGTGGCAAGTGAAGCGAGTCTAAACATCTGGGAGTTCCGGGGGGTGCTGTAAGCCCCCCCCCCGGGAAAATTTTGAAATTTGAACACTTCTTTGGAGAATTTTGAAGCCATATGCAGTTATACTGAGGAAATTAGAACATTGAGAAATTTTTAATTAACTGTATATTTATTGATAGTGTACAAATTCCCAACACACACACACACAAAAGTGAGACATGACTGGAGTCATTCATGTGGTTTCAAGTCGACCAGCCCTGATATAGCTACTACCGCACATGTGGAGGCCCCTGGGCAGCTGCCCACTTTGCCCACTCCTGAATCCGGCCCTGACTGTACAAGTCTTACATACTCACACATTCTTAGCTTGACTAAAATTTTGTTTCATGCCACTCAAGTTAACTGTCAATTTTATATTTAAGAGCATAATATACAGTTCTCCACTTCTCCACTATTCATGGTACTGTACTGAAATTAGGTAAAGACTTGGTTTACTGACCCATTGGTGGTCTTAAGGGGAGTTGTAGAAGTCCCTTCCAGCCTAACCCTATTATTGTACTGATCTTAACATATTTCAGTTTGCTATGTTTGGCAATTTCATAAATAAATCAAATGTGAAGTAAAAAATATAATTGCTTGATAAAACCCTGAGAAGGTAAAATAAAACAAAGGAATGTATCATTGACAAGTGGATCAACACAAAATTATGTTGAGATATGTAAAGACCTCTTGTGCGATGATGTTTTGCCTGACCTCTCTGCAGCACACCACAAGAGGGCCTCAGGATGTAGACAGGTTGAAAATATGTGTACTCACCCCTCGTTTTGCTAGAGCTTTCTTGAGTAACTCGACGACATCTCGTCCCTCGACACCCTCACATTTAAAGCCTTTGGTCCAGTGTGCTAACCGGGCTTTTGTCAAACCCTCTTGTTTGCACGGGAAGCTAAAAGTGAAGCCCAGAGGCAGTAATTCATCACCAAGGTTACGTTCCTTGATGAAACTTGCAAGACAATCTGCTATGTGACCAAACAGCTGAAACAACAGTACAAAATAGAATGACACTCAGTAACACAAAGTAGTGACATGGCATGTTTAATATTCCACCTTACATTCATAAGTACAGCTCCTCCCCAACTTACGACCTACTCGACTTAGGACCACTCGCACTTGCGACCTGCCTCAGTCGCACCAAAATTTTGTCAAACTATGTATTTTTGAGTCCCAATGTCAGTACACAGAGAAAATTTTCGTTTGTAATTCACTTTAAAATGGCTGGCAAGCTTAAAAATTATGTTCATTATTAACAAAGCAAATCTACATCTCTGACAGCTAAGTTTACAATATGTTTATGAGGTAATTCATCTACAAGTTAGTAATAATGTGCATAATATTTTCCTTTACGAATATTTTATCCATAAGGTACTGTACTGTTTCTTTGTAAACACTTGTATGACTAAGTGATAAAGTACTACAGATTACAGATTGCCCCGGAGGGGGCTAGTTTATTGGGCACCCCCTTACATCCTGTGCAAGGTGAAGCGCAGAAGCGTTTACAGTGCCCAACTGGGAAGCATGCGGAGTTCATGCTTGCCTTTATGACTCATGCATTAAGGGCGTAAAAGGCCTGAAGGGTCATGGGTTTTGTCAGCAAGTTACATAAAGTGACAATGATGAGTGTGTGGGGGGAAAATTCCCGGTACAATTTATCTGTTTATGGCAAAATGTGGCAGGTCACTAATAATGTCAAGTGCCAGGCCTGTCACTAGGAGGAGGGATATCTGGTCAGGGAGGGAAGAGGTGCCACCCCTGTACATTTATAAACTGGTACAAGTTTTTAAAAACCTATTTGCATTACAAGTACTTATCCAACTGAATCAAACATAAAAGGCAGTGTTTTGTTAACAGTAATTGGTGATAACTTCTATGTAGTTCTTATTCATTTCTACATATTCTAGCTGTCATGTGACTGCTCAGAACTACAGTAATGAGAGCCCAGACTTGCCCTGGGCTGATGAAAACAAGGACTTGCATATTGGTGTGTTCCTATGTGGATGTCTGCCAGTGATGTAGGTCTCAACAACTTGTTTCAGGTCTTGGTCATGGGTTTTAAGTCTCAGTCTCGGATTTTTGCTTCAAACCTTTCAATCCCACAAAATTATTTAATATTTTTCAGGTGTTTTCTCCTAGACTTGTACACTGGTTAGGTTCGGGTTTAGGAAGAGGAGATACTATACCTTATCTCAGGTTACTACTCCACTACCTTCCCTTGGCAAAAGTTGACCAGAAATAGGGATTTAATGGGTCATGGTCAATTTACTTAAGCAATGTGACCCCAAGTCAATCCGATACCCTGTACTGACCATTCTAACTGTGCTGGGGTCTAGTGCCTCAGTTGAGCATGTATTTAGCCGTGGGGGTATAATAATGAGGACCCCTAGATGTCAAACATCAGCTAAAGTACTGGTGTGTTGATGTTTCCCAAGTGTAATGAACACTTCTCATGTGTTAGATAAAGAAAATGTATAGTACAGGTACCTGGATATGATCAACAAGTCTAATGTAATAGATATTACCCCAATAAATAAATAAAAAGTAAAGTGATTTGAATGTAAAACTAATTATTCTTTATTAGGAATTCACTTTTCCATGGAATCGATAAAGAACAATGAGTTGAGTTTTATTTAATGCTTTAAGTAATACAATGGGTAAATGGGTGAGGGAGGGGGGCACTGAAGAGGGACTGCATGGCCTGAGACTTGACTTGCTGTCCACTTTGGGGACACTTATGGATCTGAGTTCCATGTGCTTAAAGCCTTTTTCCAATACAGCATGATACTGTACATGTGTTTCTTTGTATGTGTGGGTGTGTAACTAATGTATCTTCCATGAGTCACTTCATTCATAATAATATGATATATTATCTCCTTACCCCATCACCGGGCCCGACCATGATGGGCTGAGGAACTGCGTAGATTCTACTGTCCATGGTGCATTTGTCACCAAGTTGAATAAGTAGGACTCGGAAGTTTGTTCCTCCCAAGTCCAGAGCGAGGAACCTTCCATGTTCTGTAAGTTAATGTTTGAAACTGGCATAAGAAGATAATTTTCACTAAGAGTAATTAAAATACACCCTGTATCCCCATTGTCAGGTCTTTGCTAAGATGACTGAAACAGATTAACAGTGCATGTATCAAGAAACCGATTCTGGTCCACTGAACCACAAGATGATAATTATATGATTGGTTAAATTCACAAGTCAGACCACAAAATCAAGCTGAATCATTTAAAATTTGCGATGATAATAAAGATTCAACATGTAAAATCAGATTATGAGGAAACTGAGGTGTAAAAATTGCACATTTTCACTGCTAGACGACAGTACAGTATATCTTACCTATTGTAGGTTAAACAAGATTACAACAGTAGTACCAGTACTTACCTTTACCATTGGGGAGTTCTCTGACATAAGTTGGGAAACATTTGATGGTGGCCTCAGGATTGGAGTCTTTGGCCAAGCCTTTGTTGATCTCCTCTTGCAGGCAGTCACACACCTCTTCCAGTACTTCCTGACTTAATATCAACTCCTGGCAGATCTCTTTCACCTGTAAAAGAATATTTCATGTTGAAAATACCCACAGCACCATTGCTATTACTGTACAGTACAGCATGTTCATAAATAACTTCAGTGCAAACACAGCTAATACAACAAATTCCTCAGTTTCCATATATGATACAGTACATAGTTGAAATATACAGTAATATATATATATATATATATATATATATATATATATATATATATATATATATATATATATATATATATATATATATATATATATATATATATATATATTTATTTATTTCATTAGCCCAATAAACACGCGGACTTCTACATACAATATGGATCCTCGTGTTTCGAAGCCGGATTTGGTAAAACGTTACTCTGACCACCTACGTGATACGGGTAGTCCCCATTAGAGGTTCACACTATAAGCTCGTTGAACAGGCTTTGTGTGAAATATAACAGAGTCTAGAACTTCTTTTAGCATCCTGGTGGTCCAGCGGTTAGCGTTCCCCGGTCACAGTCGTGGGCCGTGGGTTCGAATCCTGGCTGGTTGAGGTGTTGATTGTGTGTGTGTATATATATATATATATATATATATATATATATATATATATATATATATATATATATATATATATATATATATATATATATATATTTTCCCCTGTGCGGTGCGGCAAACAGATGCCACCCTTTCCGAGAAGCCTCAGTCCACATGTGCCTACCGTACTGTGAATGCTACTGTGATTACCTCTTCTGTTTGTCCTCCCACATGCATTCCACATGGCTCTGGGACGTGAGCCAGCCTCACCAAAGGCAAATATTACTAGCAAAGAAATCAAGAATACTGTAATACCAAATTGGGCCATGGAGTCATGTACTGTAATTACTAACAAAAGAACATTCCACAGCAACAGAAACTTGTCAAAGCAAGATGGGAGTGTATGGCTTAGATGCCTCCTCATGTGTTATCATAAGGTGTGCCCAGGAGTTCACTCACAGGTTGATTGATTTGTACATAGTAAGTCTGATAATGAAACAGTTTGTCATATTATACTTTTACCTTACTTTTATCCTCTTCACCGTAAGATCGACTCGTTAGCCGCTTGGGCGATCGGTCACGTCTCTGATTATCTTGTACTTTTTTCTTTTATCCTCTTCACCGTAAGATCGACTCGTTAGCCGCTTGGGCGATCGGTCACGTCTCTGTTACACACTGTTGGCAAGTACTGGGCATGCACCGGCTCCTGAATGTACCTGAACCTGCTCCAGTGTTGGTCAAGTCTGGTCTTGAAAGAGCTCACACTCGGTGCAGTCACAACACTTTCTGGTAGATTGTTCCAAGAGTTCACAACTCTCACTACGAAAAAGTTTGCCCTCACAGTTTTCTGGACTTGCGGCTTCTTCAATCTTGGGCTGTGACCCCTTGTGGGGCGAGCGTCCACCAGCTCCAAGTAAGGACATTCGACTGAGTAGTGCCCCTTGAGGTATCTGAGGTGCCGAAGGGCAGGCACCAGTATGGTGGCCCTCCTTTGAATATTTTCAATCAACTGAGTCCCGAGCATTTAAAGGGGTTTCTCTTTACAATAATGTAACATTAAACCCAGGAAATGGGACAATCTGCTCCTAGAACCAAGGACAGGCCAGTAGTTACCATCAACACCCCATGTCTTGGAGAGATGCCTCCTCCTAAGATTCCTCACACTAGGACACTCAACCAGCAAGTGTTTAATACAATTGTCGAGGGGACCAGGCAGCCATCAAGTGGCCGTGTAAGCCTATAGTAACCATTTATGATCACCACGCCTCTGTGAAGTTTGAAAAAGAAATCTAATGGAGCAGGCAACTGGTTTTACCTTATTCATTTCCCAAGGTTAACCTTGGCCAAGAGGAAGGTTACCACCATGACGCATGAAATGTCGACAACAACAGTTGCAAGTTGCTCAATTGTTGGATAAATTGTGATGGGTGATTGTCAAACACCGCATGAACTTGCACTACACTCCGATTTTATGTATACAGTACTGTACCCTGTACATGTACAATACGTTCTTGCTCAGGGGAGATTGGAATTGCACATTCAGTACTTTTCTCCTCATTACGTCACATGAGATTAAACGAGATTTCCTCATATGTATATCTCCGTACCAGCTACTGTATGATCATATATGTACAGTACATTATTGCTGAAAGTTGTCCCTCAAATCTCAATAAATCTAAACTCGTCACTCAACAGGGTTTGCCCTGGTGTCGTCCACGAAATCCACTTTATGTTGAAAGTGGGTGATATAGGCAGGGCAGATACTAAGCCTTTGGTAAGCAAGGGAACAGTGTGGCCGGACCTGCACTCAAGAGTACTCGACGGACTCCGGTTCCCTACCAGTAAAGGCAGGTATGGTACCGATTCACAGCTGCACGAGAGACAGGTGGTTTTGATGCAAACCAGTAAAGCTTGGCACACGGGGCAAAAGTCAATATCCCCTCAGCTGTCGCACCCCTTATCAACCCTTATTTTATCTTTGATAGTTCATATTATCTGTTACCACTGATCTCTTCTTATTTACTGGCAGTGTTTGCCACTCGCACTGTTTGGTACACAGTAGATACACTCAAGTCTCTTTATATCTTTAATTAACAGATATAAATAGAATCTTACCATCTGGTTTTCAGGTCGACAGTATGTACCCTTGTACAGTACAGTACGGTACGTTCTGTATCTAGTACTGAGAGGTTATTCTGCTCCCATCACTTCACCTATACGTTTGATAGAAATTGCAAAATAATATAAAATTTTCAGCCAGTGAAAACTAGAGTTTCATCAAATTACATTTGAAGAATAACTCCTTCCGAATGTGAGAGGCCATAGCCAGATCCTAGAACACATGCGGCAATGGCAGAGATATCCACTCAGTCCTCTCCAGGACAACGTAGAGGAAAACAAAAACTTGAGAGGTCCAGAGCCTCATCATAATAGAGACTAAGATCACTCATTACTTTAAGACTTCTTTTTTTTGCAAACTTGACCATTGGTCTCGGAAAAAAAAATGATACCCCTCTAAGAGTCTAAGTGAATAAACAAGCCCCTAAATGACAACGACAATTGACTCTTGCACGGGGTTATCCTAATGCAGCAATCCAATTATTCTTTACAATTCTCACTGTATTTAACATAATTTTCTTCATTAAACGAGAATGAAATAATACACTGTACTGTATAATTCAGTAAAATGATGATTGAAATGACGCCGGACAGAAATTTGTGACAAGTCATCTTTCGTCGTGAAGGTGGGCAGGACACCACTGAAGGCTGTGCGGGAGTTAGAAACACGAATAAGAACATAAGAATGGAGGAAACTGCAGCGGCCCTATTGACCCATACTGGGCAGTCCCATTTACACCCAACCCCTATTGCTCATATATCCATACAACCTATGTTTGAAGCTACCCAGCGTATTCGAGTTAGTGATGATATTTGGTAACTTGTTCCATTCGTCCACTACTCTATTTTCAAACCAATGTTTACTTATTTCGCGCCTAAATCTAAATTTGTCTAATTTAAAACCATTGTTACGAGTTCGCTCCTGGTTGGATAGTTTGAGTACCTTTGTAATGTCCTCTTTGTTTAGCCCTGACTTCCATTTATACACCTCTATCACATCTCCCCTCCGGACCCCTCACTCTACGTCTCCTGAGGGAGTGCAAATTAAGATGCTTTAACCTGTCTCTGTACTCAAGGTTCCTAATGCCTGGGATTAGTCTTGTCATTCCCCTCTGAATACTTTCCAAGGATTCTATATCGATTCTGTAATACGGTGACCAGAATTGAACTGCGTAATCCAAGTGAGGTTGTAGTGGATTCCTCCCCAATACAATATGTATACAGAGAGCACATTGTGAGTTTCCTTTCTCCACCCCATCCTGAGTGTGAACCAATATCTCAACCCCACAAGGTCTTACAAGCGCAAGATATAGTTTTAGTATGACCTCGCTAGTCTTGTAACAAGCACTCCTTTGAATGAACCCAAGTACTTTATTAGACTTGTTTCGAGCAAATACACATTGTTTTGTATTACTTGGCTTAAGATTCCTACTTATCATTACTCCCAAATCTTTCTCACATTCGGATTTCTCAATATCATCGTTGTTCATCTGGTATCTGGATTCCCTGTTTACATCTCATATACCGAGTACTTTACATTTGTCTACATTGAATTTCATCTGCCATTATCAGACCATTCGAATTTGTTTTTAGATCTTCCTGTAGTTTTGCGGAGTCCTCGTCAGATTTAATTGCACGCCCTATTTTAGTGTCATCAACAAATTTACTTATGTTGCTGTCTACGCCGATATCTATGTCGTTTATGTATATAATAAATAATAATGGTCCAAGTACTGAGCCTTGGGGAACTCTACTAGTGACGTTGCTCCAATCGGATTTAGTACCGTTAATGCTCACTCGCTGTTTCCTGTCCTGTAACCACGCCCTCGTCCATTTTAGAATATCTCTAATATCATGAGAGTCCACTTTTCTTATTAGTCTTTCGTGGGGGACTCTGTCGAAGGCTTTGCTAAAGTCAAGATGTACCACATCATAATTGTGCCCCTCGTCCACTGGTTCGAAAACAGACAAAAATAATGTTAATAAATTAAATATACATGAACGCCCGCTTGTGAAGCCATGTGACGGCCAAAAGTCTCAAGACCAAAGCAGGAGTCTTAGTGGTCCGTGTTGATGAAGCACGTGACTGATCCATGGTGGGTGTAGAGCACGTGATTGATCCATGGTGGGTGTAGAGCACGTGACTGATCCATGGTGGGTGTAGAGCACGTGACTGATCCATGATGGGTGTAGAGCACGTGACTGGTCTGTTGTAGGTGTAGAGCACGTGACTGATCCATGGTGGGTGTAGAGCACGTGATTGGTCTATTGTAGGTGTAGAGCACGTGACTGGTCTATTGTAGGTGTAGAGCACGTGACTGGTCTATTGTAGGTGTAGAGCACGTGATTGGTCTATTGTAGGTGTAGAGCACGTG